AAAAAATGGGAAAAAAACCAGAGAAAAATGGGAAAAATTCATCAGGGGGTGGAGCCTCGAAAGGGGGGTGGGGCTTCCAAAGGGGCGGGGCTTCCAAAGGGGCGGGGCTTTTAAAATCCAGACAATAAATTGCAGAATTTTGGGGGAAAAATCGGGAAAAAATGGAGAAAAATTTGGGAAAAAAAAGTCACAGGAAAAACGGGGGGAAAATGGCAAAAAAAAAGGGTAAAAATGAGAAAAAAATAGGAAAATTTAGGGAAAAATTGGGGGAAAAATGGGAGAAAATAAAAAAAAATACAAAGAAAATTGGGGAAAAATGGAGGAAATTTGGGGGGAAAATGGGGGAAAATGAAGAGAAAATTCAAGAAATTTTGGGGGAAATTTGGGAGAAAATGGAAAAAAATTGGAAAAAACTCAGAAAAAAAAATTGTAAAAAATTTTAAAACTTCCCAATAATTTCCCAAAATTTCCAGTTTTCCCAAAATTCCGGGATTTTGACCCAAATTTTCTGGGTTTTTGTTTTTCAGCTCCTCCCCCACGTGGCCGAGGTCGTTCGCGGGGTCGGCCCCGCCCTCGCCATGAACAGAATCGACCCCGGTGAGAAAATGGAGAAAAATTTTGGAATTTGGGGGAAATTTGGGAAAAAAATTAAAAATTTGGGAATATTGGGGCATTTTGGGGAAAATTTCGGGAAAATTTGGGGATTTTTGGGGGATTTTTTTGGGTTTTTTGGTGTTTATTTGTGATTTCTTAAGCATTTTTTTAAGGTTTTCTGTGGGGATTTTTGGGGATTTGGGTGAAAGTTTGGAAAAATTGGGAAAAATCAGGAAAAATTGGGAAAAAACTGGGAAAAATAGGGGATTTTTTGGGATTTTTTCTTGGTTTCTTTATTAATTTTGAGGTTTTCTTGGGGGGTATTTTTGGGAATTTATTGGAAATTTTGGATAAATTTGGAAAATTGGGGGGAATCTGGGAATTCCATGAAAATTTTGGGGTTGGGGAAACCATTTCCATTAAATTTTTTATTTTTCCCCATTTTTTCCTTATTTTTTCTTTTTTTCTCCCATTTTTCCCCATTTTTCATTGGCCCCGCCCCCTCTCAGCTCTCAGCCAATCGCTGCTCTCGCTCCTCCGCGCTTTGGGCGGGGCCAATCCCGAGCACTTCCGGGTGGGCGTGGCCTCGCTCGACCCCGCCCACGCCGCC